TGATGTTAATCCAAAGGGCAGATAGTGATCCCTCCTAAGCAAAGTGAAGATACTTTTTGTGTGGGGAAAATATGGGGATATGTGGGTAGGCCTCTTTGAGATCTATAGATGTCATGAAGTCCCTTGCTGTAATTGCCTCCGCAAGTGTCTCTATTTAAATTTTTTCATATACAACAAATTTGTTGAGGAATCAAAACTGACATCAGTCATGAAGGCTGTGGCTGTCTCTAGTCTAGAGAGGTAGCCAGTTGGCTACCTCCATAAATCAGTAGTGTCCCACAGGAGTTTGTGAAGCCACATGATGGAAGCTCTAGCCATGAGGGAGGTGGCAGATGAAGCTCTAATGGCATAGGCCCTTGCTTCATAAGCTCTGCAAATGCCTGCCTCACTTTTTATCTGTGGAATCCTTTAATGAGCTGTTCCTCTCTTTAGGAAAGGCAATGCCTGAGGCTCGTCTGGCCACGTGGACATCTACCACTGAAATTCTGAGGAGATGAGAGACCTTTGGTGGAAAGGAGTATACCTTTTTGGCATGGCTGATGTGGAAGCACTGACCTGAAGGTTCAGTCCATTCTTCCTTGACCCCTTTAGTTAAAAAGTGTGGAAATGGAAAGTGAGAGCCCAAGGTTTGCGGTACACCAAACATCTCTGTGGCCCCATCCTCCTCCTTTTCATGCTCTGGATCTCTCTCGGGGGTGGAAAGTTGCAGAATCTTTAGGGCCCTGTAGAATAATGGTGGCAACTCATCATGAGAAAGCAGTCTTTGAGACTGAATACTTAAGAGGCTCTTCATTCGACAGTTCCTCTTCCTCTCTGCTGAGTCAAACTCTGAGTCTGCAGTTGTAAATTTGCTCCCCCAGCTGGGAAGTCCTTGGAGATGAAGCCTGGAAGGAAGTAGGTGTAGGCTTTTTTGTGCTGCTTTAAAAGGACAAGAGGATTTTTTAATGTTCTTAGTCTGGTCTGTAAGAGAGTCCCTGGCCCCCTGAATAATCTGCCTTTTAGGTGGAACACAGGCTGATGAGATGGGGGGCATGCCTGAAGAACTGTGCCTCTTTCTACCCTAAGGCTGCTCTCTTCTGACTATCTTATTTAAAAGTTGGTCAGCTGCTCCTGAAAACCTATTGAGAAAAGAAAAGGCATCTCCATAGGGTTGCCAGGTCCATCAGAAACACCGGTGGAGGGTATGTTCCGGGAGTCAGGAGCGGTGTCACATGCTGTGCCCATGTCACCTGGAAGTGATGTAGGCGTGTCAGTGATGTAGGCGTGTCAGTGATGTTGGGGGTGATGCTCTGGTTTTGGGGCAAAACTCTATGGTAAAATCAGCCTCAAACCATAGAGCAGGGATGGCCAAACTTGCTTAACCTAACAGCCACACAGAATAAACGTCAGATGTTTGCGAGCTGAAAGACATAAATAAATATTACACATGTTTTTATTGAAAAATATGCAAATTTGCTTTTTATTAACATTAAATTGGACTGTGTGAAAGATCTGCATGCAGCTCCGGAGCTGCAGTTTGGCCACCCCTGCCATAGAGTTTTGCCCAAAAACTAGAGTGTTACCCCCAACATCACTGACATGCCTATGTCACTTCCAAGTGACGTAGGCACATCACATTTATTCTGGCAATGTCGTGGGGGGGGGGCGGAATTTGCAGGCAGGAGCCTGCAAAAACAGGGAATCCCCTGCCACAAACTGGGGAATGGCAACCCTACTTCTCCACCTCCTACTGAAGGGCCCAGGGAAGCAAGATTGATCTGCATACTCACCACCTCTTGATCAGTTTGTGTTTGTGCTGCAGGGAATTTGGCAGCTGATGTAGGCTGCTGGAAACTGCTGCAGCAAGGCACAGGGGTTTTGGCACCAAATTTCTCCTCGCAGCCAGCTGAAGTGCTGTTGGTTTCAGCCTGATGCTCTATTGTGCACAGCCAGCTGAAGTGTTGGTTTCAGCCTGATGCTCTATTGTGTTGTTCTAAGTGGCCAATTTACACTTTCATTTCTGCAGCCCTCCATAGCTGATTATCCTTAAATCACCTGCTATCAGGACACCATTTCAAATTCAGGGGATCGAGATGCAAATGACATAGCCACAGGGTTTCTATGGCAACTAGTCACTCTAGCATAGGTGGAGGTAGGAAGGACAAACAAGGATCTTTCCGCCCCAACAAGGATAATAGAGAAGAAAACACACAAGGAAAGAAAGAATAAACAAAACGAATTCCACAGTGACAAAAGGCTCAAAGGCAACTGGCAGTCCTGAGTCCGGCACGTGCAAAGAGACAGGGAAAGAACTGAAGAAAGAGGTGCTCCTCTCCTCAGGGGCAGGAAGAAAAATGACCCAATATCCTACCTCCAGAGATTGTAGAAGGCGTAGTACCCAAATGTCGACATGTCCTCTTCTCCTCAGATAAGAATCTGTTTGCAAACTAATAGCCAAAAGTAAAACTTCATTAATTCTGCTACATAGCTTGAGTCCCATACCTCTTTAATATCCAGCCTTACAGAAAGTTCTGGAAAGCTCAGGTACGTGTTGTGATATTTTGGCTAGGCCAAATAAAAGCTATTACATGATCTTTGCCTCTGGAGGAAGGATTTTTCTCTGAAGCAAATCTCATTAAGCAAGAGGAAGTCCTAGGATCCACATATTGTGCTTTACATAAAATGTCAGAGTACACGTGTGTTGTTGTTTTGTGCTTGAAGAAATGCCAATCTGAGTATTATCTCTTATTTCCAGCATCTGAATTTGTACCATAATTTCTGTGTTCTGTTCACTTCATTCCATTGTTAGTATCTAAGGTATCATTTAATTTAAATAATAGCCATGAGAAGACCTGAGGAATCATGTTTTTTTATGACTGAGAAGCTCTTACGTTGAAAAATATGGGATGAGGCAACCACACAAAACAGAAATGAAAATAGTACTGTCATTAGTCAATTGTCAAGTTGTAATACCACCACAGTTTGGACCAAATTATGTTGCCCCCAATATATACTTTAGGATTTGCTACACAAATTCATGCACAAAATGTAGAGTGCAAACTTTTTTTTTTTACTCATAAAACCCGCAAAAATAGTACCAGCATTTAAATGAACAGCACCTGGCCAGTTATTCTTAGTTGTTTGAAGTGTACAAGTTTTACATTTTCTATATATTCCATTGTTTGGATCTCTCTCTCTCTCTCTCTCTCTGTGAGATCTGGATTCAAAAGCTGTGATAGATTGTTCTTTTTTGTATATGTACTATACAATTATCCTAGGCTATACACACTGATTTCTGGTTTTATGGATAATGACCAGAATTCTACTTAGCACTTGTTTCAGTTACTTAGTTTCTAAGAACACATTACCATCCACTCCTTCTCATGAGGATTGCCATTTTCTATCACGTCACTCCAGAGATTCACAGAGTGATCAGACATACATGCAGATAACTCATGTATACAGGCTCTCTCATTCAGACAAACCTGCAGATAACTCATGTATACAGGCTCTCTTATTCACTGTCATAGATTCAATCATTTAGAACTTCTTCTACAGAAATAATCAAGTGGTTTTTGTAGATTTGAGAATTCTGTATACATAGAGTGCAAGCTCTGAAACATTATTGGGAATACATGAAAATAACCAGTTGCTATTTAACTGCAATCCCTTCAAACAGTGGCAGTAATTAAGCTAATTTTGTTTCACAAAGACCTATATGACTTGCAAACCCTTCAAGTGGTGGCAGTAATTAAGCTAACGGTTTCACAATGACCTATATAACTACCAGAAGAAGGGAGGAAACACATGTACACATGTGCTTCCTTTGACGATAACACAGGCTTTCTTTGATGAAAACACTATTGAGCATGCAGGTTTTCTGGCTGTTCTTTATTATGGCAGCTAATTAAAAATAGCAATAATCCAGAACCAATCAAGCCCATCTATGGCTGCCAGTTGCCTGCCCATGGTGGACAACCTTCTACCCCCTCCTGCTGTTGGGTGGAGGGCAACAACATCACAGATTCAGCAACATCACTTCCAGTTGCTGTCGCAGTGACGCTCTAGGAATTTCCCCAATCTCTATGATCTTTACCATAGAGATTAAGGAAGTTCCTAAAGCATCACTGGCACAGTGACATCACTTCCAAAACTGACATTGCCGCATCAACAATGCTGTCCTTCCTCATGCATTTCCCCCCCAAAAGCTCCCGAATCCACCCCAATTACTTGATAATGCAGAACTCTTGTACTACAGATTAATAAAGCAAAAATTTAGATTAAAGTCACACGAGGCAGCCCAGTGTCATTGCTTCAGAAGTACATGAAAAAAAGTTTAGAGCAGGGTTAGTATGGAAGCACTTCCTGTGAAACAGCACCCTAACTCATTAGACTCACGGCAGGAGCTTGAAGAACTAACACCCCTAGTATAGAAATTATGTATATGCAACCAAGCAAAAATATTCATTTACACCAATGTGCTTCAAGTTTGGCAGCAGCCTGCACATTTCAGAAGTGATTGGGTTGTCCCCAACTATCATATATGAGAACCAGCCATAAGAAACCAAAGACAATGTGACCTAAGTATCTGTCCAGCATATATGAATCTAAATAATTAAGAGTTTCTGTAAATGTAAATCCATTTATGTGCCATTGTCATACATCTTATATATAAAGAACACTGATCTTATGATAGATTATAAATATTTGTCTATATGAAGAAATATGAATTTGGATTTTCTAGCCATACAATATTCTTGCCTATTTTACGAAAGGCCAAGTTCACTTGAGCAGTCCTTTTACATGCCTTTATACTCCACATTTTAAAGCAAAGCCCTGCAAAAAGCATCACTGGAAACAGCAATGGGAGACTTCAAATAAATGGGTCCACTGGTAAGAAATTTTATAACATTTTGTTTGATATTTGAAACATTTGCCTCTTACCACTACAGAC